GATAAAAATCCGTTTATGTCCATGATTTTGTTAATAAAAAATAAATTTTTAAAATAAAATATTATTATTTACGAGTTCTCTCTTATCAAGCCAAATTTTCTCGATATCTTCAGGTATTGATGATATAAGCTATGGTTTTAGTATGTAAAATTCTTCGTTTAATTGAATTGAGTTTTGGCATAAGATGCTCACATATTAGATATTGTTTCTATAAATGTGATAACTAATATGTTTATTGTTCTTTCCCAACAAGTGTTACGACGTCTTTTCTCTGGAAGTTTTCTTTTTCATACACTCCCTATGGAGCTTTGTTGCATTACCCTTGGCTACTTTTACCATCCCCTCGATGATGAATAAATTCACAGACGTTTAAAAAAAAAAAAAACATCTAGCAGTCAAAAGAAATAGTCTACGTGACTAATAGTCTTGGTTTCAAGTTAGGGAGAAATATTCGTAATATGAAGCATTTTGAGGATGAATTTGTATCCACAAAACAAATTGTGGAGCTTTCCATGTGTTCACCATTCAGATATGTGTGTAATATGAATTTAGTTCACCATAATATGATTACTAATTAAGCTGATCAAGCCCCTTTGTAATCATTTTATAACCTTTTCATTTTACTGAAATTCAAATCCATATAAAAAAAAATCCACATAAATTAAAAACATATATACATACATTACGGCATTTTCAAATTTTCAAAAAAGAAAAATCGTATACAATTCATCGTACATACAAAATTTGAAGTCTTAAACCCGGATTATCATACGGGAAACATTGAACCCAAAAAAACCACTTGACTATAAGCTCTTGTCATTCCTCAGCCTTATTCATAAATCACATTATTAAAAATATATGGAAACAAAATTTCACATTATCTATGTATATATATCCGCTATCAAGTAGCATATCATATAAACTTTTTTTTTTTTGGTCACACATGCATATCATAAAACATTCATGAATCACAATTCACAAGCATGCATATTCTCTACACTCCCCCACACACACAAAAACCGTGCAGCTTAACGTGCTCTTTCTATTAGGTAGCTCACGAAGAATGAGCCTAAACACTCTTCACCATATACCGTTGGAACCCTCCTCGACTCTATATAAACATAATTAAGTAAACCTAACAAGCAATAATCTCACTCTCAAAATCATATATTTCATAATACATAAAAGATAAAAAAGACAAATATGGCAGCGTCGTCCAGCTCTTCCAAGTCTTCATTGGCCACAATCATGAAGGTAGCAGTGATGGTGGCTCTGGTCTTGGTGGTGACTGTGGATGGACAGAGCTGCAATGTGCACTTGAGTGGACTAAACTCGTGTGGTGAGTTTGTGGTTCCTGGAGCTGACAAGACGAACCCGAGTGCAGAGTGTTGCACTGCTCTTGAGGCAGTGCCAAGCGAATGCCTTTGCAACACGCTTCGCATTGCCTCTAGGCTTCCCAGTCGCTGCAACATCCCTACACTTTCTTGCTCCTGATCATATGGATCCTCCCCTATAAATCCTAGACGCCATATGTACGTAAGAGCATACCATAACGTTTGAAACATTGATCTATGTATTATTTATGTAGCTAATTAAGCTCTCTATTTTTTGTGTATTAACAGGAGAACCACGGAGGGAAATCAAGGAAATAAATATCTAAGAATAAAAACTCAAAGTTTC